CCAGCCCAGCCCCGGAAGACCCAGAAGCCGGGCAATGTGAGCTCAGCATCCAGCTTGACTGTGTGGAGGGAGGGAAGGGAAGGGGCCTCGGGCTGAAGTCCGCAGCAAGGGACCCTGGGCTCACAGTGACATGAGCCTAGCGTCCGGCCGAAGGAGGGGAGGGGAAGGGCCTCGGGCCAGAGGCCGCACCCTGGCCGGGCGGAGGGAGGGGAAAGGAGGGACCTCGGGCTGGAGTTCACAGTGAGGAACGCTGGGGTTGCAGTGACACGAGCCCAACATCTGTTCACCTGCCGGGTGGAGGAAAGGGAGGGCAGGGGTCTTGAGCCAGAGTCTGCAGGGAGGAAAGCTGGGCTTGCAGAGTCCACCTCCAGGGATGTCCAGCGTCCATGCCCCAGCTAGGTGGAGGGAGGGAAGGGGAGGGGCCTCAGGCTGGAATCTGAGGTGAGGAAAGCTCTCTGGGCTCGCAGAGTCCGCCTCCAGGATGCCCAGCATCCGCGCCCCAGCCAGTGGAGGGAGGGAAGGGGAGGGGCTTTGGGCTGGAGTCTGCAGCAAGGAACGCTGGGCTTATAGTGACGGGGAGTCAGCAGCAAGAGCCCCTGGGCTCACAGTGACATGAGCCTAGCGCCCGGCCGAAGGAGGGGAGGGGAAGGGCCTCGAGCCAGAGTCCGCGCCCTGGCCAGGTGGAGGGAGGGGAAAGGAGGGACCTCGGCTGGAGTTCACAGTGAGGAACGCTGGTGTTGCAGTGACAGGAGCCCAACATCTGTTCACCTGCCGGGTGAAGGAAAGGGAGGGCAGGGGTTTTCGAGCATGATATGCAAATTAACCACCAACAAAGATGGCTGCTAATTTGCATACTACAGGCAGGACGGGACAGCGTGCTCTGCCAGCTCGCTGCCATCCAGGGCAGAAGACCCAGAAGCCGGGCTGCCTTGCTGCCCGGGACCCGATCCAGCCCCAGGCAGTGAGGCAGCCCGGCCCCGGAAGACCCAGAAGCCGGGCAATGTGAGCTCGGAGGGAGGAAAGGGGAAGGGCCTGGGGCTGAAGTCCGCAGCAAGAGACCCTGGGCTCACAGTGACATGAGCCTAGCGCCCGGCCGAAGGAGGGGAGGGGAAGGGCCTCGAGCCAGAGTCCGCGCCCTGGCCAGGTGGAGGGAGGGGAAAGGAGGGACCTCGGCTGGAGTTCACAGTGAGGAACGCTGGTGTTGCAGTGACAGGAGCCCAACATCTGTTCACCTGCCGGGTGAAGGAAAGGGAGGGCAGGGGTTTTCGGCCAGAGTCTGCAGGGAGGAAAGCTGGGCTTGCAGAGTCCACCTCCAGGGATGTCCAGCGTCCATGCCCCAGCTAGGTGGAGGGAGGGAAGGGGAGGGGCCTCAGGCTGGAATCTGAGGTGAGGAAAGCTCTCTGGGCTCGCAGAGTCCGCCTCCAGGATGCCCAGCATCCGCGCCCCAGCCAGTGGAGGGAGGGAAGGGGAGGGGCTTTGGGCTGGAGTCTGCAGCAAAGAACGCTGGGCTTATAGCGACGCGAGCCCAGTGTTTGCACTCTGGCTGGGTAAAGGAAAGGGAGGGCAGGGGCTTTGGGCGAGAGTCCACGGCGAGGAACGCTGTGCTCACTGTGATGCAAGCAACGTCCACTCCAAAGGAAGGGAGGGGAGGGGCCTTGGGCCGGAGTCCCTGGTAAGGGATGCTGGCATCATTGCAGGCCACGAATTTCATGCATTGGGCCTCTAGTATATAACAATTATAAATTATTTCCTTAAATATTTCTGATGGGAGGAGATTCCTCTAGTCATTTTCCAGGGGTACAAACAAGGCTCACATACTGTTAGTTCCTCTGTATTCACTTGTAATCATTTGCTGCATCATTTCCTCCTATGACATGTCCCTTTGCCATTCCCATTCCTTTCAAATGAGCAGTTGCTTTCCTCCTATGACATGTCCCTTTGCCATTCCCACTCCTTTCAAATGAGTAGTTGCCAAGTTTTTTTTGTTTTGTTTTGTTTTACCACTTAGCACTTGTTTGTTTGTTTGTTTGTTTGTTTGTTTTACCACTTAGCATTTGTGATCCATGGATCTCAAACACTTTTTTAAAAAACTTTTAGTTTCATATAAATTATATCTGTAATATATAATTTATGTTGTATATATTTTACTACAATATGTAACTTTATTGTAGTAAAATATATACAACATAAAATTACTGTTTTCACACATTGTTATTGTATACTAGTGGATCGGTGCATGAAATTCATGCACGGGGAGTGGTCCCTCAGCCCAGCCTGTACCCTCTCCAATCTGGGACCCCTCAGGGATCAGGCCTAAATTGGCAGTCAGACATCTCTCCCACAATCTGGAACCACTGGTTCCTAACTGTTCACCTGCCTGCCTGCCTGATCACCCCTAAACACTCTGCCAGCTGGCCTGATCGCCCCCAATTGCCGCCCCCTGCCAGCCTGCTCACCCCTTACTGTCCCTCCATGCTGGCCTGATCGCCCCTAACTGCCTCTGTCTTGACCCTGCCACCATGGCTTTGTCCGGAAGGAATCCCAGAAGGTCTAATGGTCTAATTAGCACATTACCTTTTATTAGTATAGATTTTACTGGCATAATTACATTCACATGTTGTGAGACCATCACCACTATCCTTATCCAGAACATTTTCATTATCTCAAATAGAAGCTCTATATCCATTAAACAATTACTCCCATTCCCCCTCTCTGGACATTTCCACTCTATTTTATGTTCAAACCATTTTTGGGGGGGTTATAGTAGTGCCGTCTTTTCCATGAGGGATACATTCCAAGACGCCCAGTGGATGTGTGAAACCACAGATATTACAGAGCCCTATACAAGTGTATATACTGTTTTTTCCATAC